ACAGTAGATAGGAAAAACATTCTGACAAAGTTCAAAGGTTGGATTGCTCATTTTACGCGACTAGCCGTTCGAACGATACTGTAGAAAAAAATATTTTTTTTTTTTTGTCTCAAAAGTTAAACTTACAAATTAAAAAATCTATTTTACCATTGTATAGAGCTCGGCTCGGAGATTCAGAAAAATATACTTGACTTGTATGTCGAATGGTTTAATTTTATTAAATATTAGTTATTATAATTTTCACGCTAATTTTTGGGCAACGGGTTTTTCAGTTTCTTTGAGGGTTGTAACAATGTTATTTTGTACCAGAGATGAAACCGATCTGAATTTTTGACAATCGGTACCATCTCTGATTTATATCATTAGATATGCTATATTTTGAAGTATATTTCCCTATATTTAAATTTTGAAAAAGCATGATTTTCGAATTTTAGCCAACTATTTGCGTACATGCATACTGTGACTTGCAGGGGTGATCATTCATAAATGAAATGATTTTTTTATTTAAATATTTTTATTTCGAGAAAAAAAATTTACCTTGTAACCAACAAATGAATCCTGTTGGACAAGTTAAATTACTATCGGTAAATTGCATTGATGACGACATTATCAACGAATCAGGAATACATTGTCCACCAAAATTTATACATTCATTTGTTGTTAATGAAGTTATTGGAGTTGATAATAAAATTTCTTCGGTTATATGAAATTGTTCAATTAAAACAGAACATATTTGTGCATGAAAATTAGAATTATTATATTTCATTAAACATCGATCATTTGTTGATGATTGATTACGAATCATATTTAATCGAAGTTGTATTTGAGGTAATGTATAATACCATGGATCATTTTCAATACATGATAAATAAATACATTGATATTTTGTTGTATTTGTACAATTTGATGTTTGAAGATAATTAAATAATAATTGATATTCATTTTCTATTGAATTAATTGCTATATCAAATTTCATAATCGATAATAATTCATTAGATAAAATTAATTTTTCAAAAATAATTCCTTTTGATTTACATATAAAAATAAGATTTGTTGTTAATGTTGAAGATCCATTGAAATAAACAATTAATCGATATGTTGTGATATTAAATAGTTCAAATACATGTTGAATAATTATTAACGTTGATGATGATATATTATTCGATTTTGCATGATGTTCAACAATATGAGTAGAATTTTTTAAACGTAAAATTTTCTCATAATTTTTCTTCTTATGAAATGATTTTGTTTCATTATTCAATGGTTTTCGACATATAACTGTTCGTTGATTATGACATGATGTACGTTCAATAGGTTCACGTATTTTTGAATCAAGAATTAATGCAGCACAATCACCTGCAGTGACTACATATGGTGATAAACGATGTTGAAAAAATTTTCTCCATTCATATAATTTCCATTGTTCATCTAAATAAGATTCAATTGATAAATCCCATCGCCAATCAAAATTATTTTCTGTATGACCATTGGCTGAACTAAATGCTCTATAGGATAATGCTAACCAAACACCAGCTAATGAAAGATGTTTAAAAAATGGTGTTAAATGTATAAGATTATGTGTTAAACGAAAAAGTTCTTCTTCGTTATTGACATATAAAAGATGACCACCATTTTGTGAACATTCAATTGAACCAGCAGACATATCAAAAAGTTTTTGTGATGAAAAATAAAGACAAAAACCATCGTCATAAAACCATGGTGGTTGACAAGTTGTATTTTGAATTTGTCGACATAATGTATAAGAATTATATGATGAACAATTTTTTGTATAATTTTGATTTTTTAATTGAGTAAGTGTTGTACTTAAATGTACATCACCAGATATAAGTGAACAATTATCTTGTATTATATTTTCAAATGTATAGGATATTCCACCGAAATTTTCAGTTAAAATTCTACTTGATTGAAGACCATACAATGAATATGATAAAAATGGAATAAGAATAGTTTTTTCTTGTTTTGAACTAGAAAATAATTTACCTTCCCATGCTTGACATTGAAGTATATTACGTTCTTCTTCTTCAGTTTTAGTAATACGTTTTTGTTCATCAAAATAATAACATATACCATAAATTAATGCCCATGGTCGACGACAACTAATATTTATTGGAAGTTCTTTTCGACACATAACTGTATGTTTTTCACGACAATTTGTAAATGGCATACGAAACATATCAATTTGACCAAATTTTGTATTGGATTTTAATTCTATTTTACGACATGTTCGTTTTGAAAATCGACTTAATATTGTACGTCGTTGTTGACCCCATGTTGTATTTGTCCATATAGATTTTATATTTTTGGATTTTTCTCGATTAATTAATATATCACGTAATGGATCAATCATTTCATCATCACCTAATATATATGCAAGATATGTATGTTTATCAATTGAATGACATAAACGATATGCTGATAACCAATCTAATGTTATATTTGGAAATATATAATAACACCATGATTTATAATAATAAAATGGTGGTGTACAATAATTTTTAATTATATCTGTATAAGATAATATATTTTCACTATTGATTAATAGAGGACAAAATATAATGAAAACTAAAAAGATTATTCTCATGATGATTATTGATGAAAAAAGACAAGTATATGCTTGTAGACGAGAAAGAATGCCATACAGGTTTTTTTTCTTCTTTGTCTATGCTTGCAGCTGTTTATATATATGTTTACCAACTGTTTTGTATATTCTGTCTGATAATTATCCATGCTAATAGAAAAAAAATATATATATTTGGGCATTTATTTTAGACATCTGTTTCTAAGGAATATAAAATAATCATCAGTTATGAATCTCACTACACCTTATGATGATCATCTGATAGAAAATATTAAATTAATACTCTCATTTATTTTTCATATAGTTTTTAACAGTAATCACCATGTAAATCATACGGATGATTAATTTCTGATGTTTATCATCTATAAGACAAACATTATGTTTTCAAGTTTCTTCCAACAACACTCTAGACTAGACATGTACCGAAACCCAAGAACAGAATTTAAATATTTCAAAGTTATTTCATTTGATTATGAACTATATCGTTAAGCTGTATAGAAGGACGTATGCCTTTGACAACCAAACGAAGAATAATGCAATCAATCATTTGGTTGAAGAAAACATTGAAAGAAAACTGATCGACAATCCAAATACAAACTTTTTACGTATGGGATTTTTTGATTCACTCTAACTTGTAATCTAATCACGTTGCCGGAATCCTTCTTTCGACCTTCTCTAGTATCATTTGCCTATATCAATCTTCTACCGACGAAAAAATGTTATGTCACGTGTCTTTGTAAATAAGGACATTTTTCTTCATTTACGTAGAAACGATCTCAATGACTTGGGTGCATGCCTACCCGAGACTAGAAATGTCCCAGACCAAGGTATTTACGGTTTCGGTGATGAGTTCAGTAACTCTAATCCGGTCTCGATTCCGATCTATAGCAAATTATTCTAGAGAAATTCAGCAATATTCATTTTTTGATTTATTTACTCGACGACAAGTATTTTTTTTTCAGCCATCACTTTTGAAATACAGAGTGTCCCATAAGTTCTGGGCTTCAATGAAAATTAACTCATATGCAAACAAAGAGCAATCCTTAAGCAACTATATCTATATGAGTCTCAAGCACTTAGGACAATGTTTCAAATGGCACGTTATTCGATGACATTATCTCTTAATAATAGTGACAGGAATACGAGACACATGATAATTAGGGTGTAGCTACAGAAGGTAACCACACCAACATCCTGTATACTACGCATCGCTTTGTATAATTGTGTTATGTTACCTATAATGAATTCATAGTTCAATAAAACTTCTGACAAAAATACGAATCAATTTCAAGATTTTAATTATCACGTTTCTTCTGTTTATATGTAAACTTATTGTCGCTAAGGTTCAGAACTAGTGTCCTGCACGCGTACGGCTCTTCGCAACCGTACTTGAATAGCTATGCCCAGTACTCGATCGAAGCTAATTGACATCTGACAGAAGCATTAAAAAAAAGATCATCGCAAGTTCCACAAAACCAAGTGAATCATGCGATTCAGGATTCACTTGGTGTCTCTTTATTTCTAAAATCCGATCAATTTCGCTAAGTATACATTTGTTTGTTATCCATGCCACTGAAGTGGAACACAATACTCCTGCTAAACATAATCATTGTGGATACGTACAAGAATACTTTTTCCATCACGATAATGCACATGTTCACGTCTTTAATAATACATTTTCCTCTTCATCCATTCAGTTACTTCGTCATCCTCTAGATGAATTTTCATTAAGAACGAATTCTTTTATTTAAAAACAATCCCTTTCCACCTGTGTAACTCATTTTCAAATATAATAAAGTGTTCAATCACGATCGAACTCGTTTTTATATAAATTAATAGTTTGAAAAGGGAAAAAATATTTTGAAAAATCAAGATATCATATGTTCTTGAGTCAAAAATTTTATATAAATTTATTTCAAGAATATATATATATATATAGAACGAAATATCGTTGATCAAAAAAGAAAAACAAAATATTCTCATCTGCCGATATGTTGATTAATTGTTTGATCATTCATCTTACATAAAATATAGAAAAATAACACCATCTTGATTGATGATATAAATTATATTTCATCCATTGACGACTACTTGTTATCAATAATTCAATAAGAGAAAATTAGATAATTCATCGTCACAGACAATAACAACATATCAACAAATTGAAAGCAGTCTATATGTTCTATTAATCAATTAGCACACAACAGGTTATTTTTTTCTTTCTCTCTTTCTTTCACTTCTATTTATCAACTTTATTCACACTTATCTTCTCATATAACTACTTCGCACATCTTCATTTTCTTCATTTCAGTCAATCAACTTCGAATTAAATTTAACAACAGGATTTGTTTATCTTATTACATATTCAATTTTTGGTTTCTTTTTTTTTGTAGGAACTAAAATGTTTCGAAAAGCTGAACAAGAAGCTCTTCTCGGTTTGTTTTATTTATTAATAAAATTAAATTGACAAAAAAACAAAGAAAACTTCTAAATTTCTAGCTGGTCATGGTCGTGTCAATCAATTAGGTGGAGTTTTTATTAATGGTCGTCCTTTACCTGATCATATTCGTCGAAAAATTATTGAAATGGCAACTAAAGGAATTCGTCCTTGTATGATTAGTCGTGAAGTATGAGATTTCTGATAAAGTAAAAAACAATTTTTGGAACTAATTCATTATGTTCTTTTTAAGCTTCAAGTATCTCATGGTTGCGTATCAAAAATACTTTCACGTTATGCTGAAACAGGTTCATATAAACCAGGTGTAAGTAGTCGACGACAAACTAAATTTAATACTCAACAAATAAATGATAATGATCTAACAATTGAAGAATCAGATGAAAGTAAAAGTAAGAATTGAAAATTTTTTGTCAAATCTAATTGAAATGAATTTTTTTTAGATAATTCACTTAATGAAACTTTACCAACACCTATAACAGCTTCTCGACGTCGTTATCGTTCATCATTTACTATTGAACAAATACAAATTCTTGAACAATTCTTTTCTCGTACACCATATCCTGATGTAACAACACGTGAAAATCTTTCAAAATATTTAAATATTGAAGAAAGTCGTATTCAAATATGGTTTAGTAATCGTCGTGCTCGTACTAAAAGATCAACAACAACAACAACTACATCTAGTCCAATATCAACACATGAAGAAGAAAATATCGCATCATCATTTACATCGCTATCCATAGATATGAAACAATTTTCAACAAATAATAATGATAATTTTGATCCAACTATAACATCAAGTCCATCAACAAGTGAGTGAAATGTTTATTACTTCGTATTTTTTTTTAATTATTTTTGTTTTAGATTATTGGCCATCAACATCGCCGATGACTCCTACACAAACTTATAATTCACAATATCCATTGACTGATTATTATTATTACCCATCAAATACCACATCCGTTTATCCGAACTATCCAATGTCATATTCATCTTTTCCTTCGTTCTATTAAATCCGTTATTGTAAATTGTCTTGAATTTTTATGTGTTTTTTTGTTATTACTCTGATGACTAGAACTATTCAATAAAAACTTTCTGGCATAAAATATAAGAGTCATGATGAATCAGGCAGGATATATGGATTACTTGTGAATCAAATTTTCGCTTGATTAGTTCTCAGAAATTCATAGAAAAATTTTCTTATGATTTTTTAAGTTATTATTAGCTAGGTTTCTCTTTTTGTCGATATTATCTTTTCTAGGAAGAATAAGATGTGTTTAAATATAAATTTTAAGAAAAATAATCTTGTCGTATAGTCGAAGTGAATATTTTCATAGGAGATTACCAATGAGATTATCTTTCATTGTTCGAGTTTCGATTGATATAGAAATGGAATGCATATAATCGATTCTATGTTACCATAAATCAGCAAAACCGTCGATTTGATGTGCACGATACTGGCAGTAGTGTGATTAAACGTGCAACATGAGATATCTTTGAAAAGGAAAGCGAAAAATACAAAATTATGAAAAAAGAAAAGTTCGTCCAGTGTTTCTGTTCAATTAAGTCACTTTGATATACTAAGCTATTTCTTGGAATATAAAATATTTTTTGAATTGTTTTATCCGTATTGAATGTTTATTTATAGGGAATTGCATATATATGATCAATTAAAATCTTGTTTAAAAGTTCTATAGATATGTATAAAAAATATGTTGAAATTTAGAATAAAGCTGTAAGCGCAATCTATGCTGGATTAAAATATGAAATACGATGTAGTTGCTGTACTTAATTACAGAGGGATTGTTTTATTCTATATATTTTGGGGCACATCTCTTCACCATTCTTTTAACTTAACTATCGAGAAACAGAATAAAGAAGTAGTTCATATATTATAACAAAGAGTTATTGATACACGGTCTTTGATCGTATATCAACAACCTGTGTGCAGGAAGTGTTCGAAATTTCTATCCCTATACTTCAAAACTGTTTTTAAATCGTGTTTCACAATAACTTGCTAATAAATCGTATGTGTGTGTGATATTATGAAGAACAGCAAAAAGAGTTCAGTAATAGCCACACACTTGTTTACACTGTTGTATTTCATTGATCGTTTCGTGAACCTTGAATACCAGCATTCATTTGTATCAGTATGTATTGAAATCGAGCTCCATTCCATGGGAGACATTCAATAAATTTGGATGCGAACTTTGAATATATTGATTGAAATAGTTATGGAAACCTACGAAGAAAGTTTTGTGATTTTGACAAGAAGGATGTTATTTTCGAAAATAATTATAAGTACTATGGTAATATCTGTTAACATTCCATATGCTAATGAAATATATTTTATTCATTTGATTTTATACAATAAATAATTACTAAGAGTATTATAAGACAATGATTGACACCAATATAGCATAATTCAAAAGTAAATTGTCAATATTTTGATACGCTCGACATTTGTTCTTTTCAGTCATTTTTATACCATACGAATGAATTCCGAAGGCTTCTGTGCAAAGTAAACTTATCAAAGAAAAAATGTAAATTATAAGATTTTTTTAAAAGGTAGAAGGAAAATTACAATTTGTAACTGATAAGAGAGTCCTTTCTGTAGGTGACAAATCGCTATTCGATTGAAACAATGTTCATTTGATGAGTAATAGAAAAGTCTAGATTATTTTGATTTTCCTGCTTTTTTAGTATTTCCTTTCTGGAAATATAAATATATGAACATAATTTACTTATACATATGAAAGAATTTCGAATATTGAATATCTTTGGATAGGAAATATTAGAAAAGTTAGAATTTGCTTAATGAATTAATTTCATTGAGAACTTTATTCACGCAAAATTTGTAGTTAAAACTCGAAAATCAATTTTCCACTTGACTTGAGGGAAACAAAAAATTCAGTAAAATTTCAATATCTCAAGAACGAAGATTCAAAGATACTATATCAAATTTAATATCAATTATAAACATATTTAGATGTTTTTAGTTACGTTTATTCGAAAGTCAAGTTAAAATATTTCAAAAAAGATTGTTAAAATAAAAACTTTAAACAAATCTCAACATTTTTCATTTTTAAACAATAGTATCCATCTTCAAGTTTACTATAACATTTCTATTTGGATATCTAGGCTATGACAATTATTGCTGTTATTGTTTTTAGATAAGAAAGAGAACAGGGGTGCATACTAGCACCCCTGAATTTGAATAAATATAAATATTTTATTATATATAAAGAACGTAAAATACTTAACTCATCAATAAGTATTATTCATTCATATGATGCTGATAAAAATCTCTCATTAATATTCACAATTTTAATCGGTATGTTGATATAAAGTCTTTAAATTTATTCATTTATTTATTTATTTATTTCAAATATTCGTTTCAATTATAATTTAAAAAAAAAAATTTTTTTTTTGTTGTCATTATTAAGCCCAGATTCCTATAATCGACATGGCTGCAACGCCAGCATATAATGCAATAAAATATAATAATTTTAATTTTTTGCTTAATAAATGAAATTCCTTAGCATTAGCACCCATTTCAGCTGTTATTAAATTAATAAGAGCAACATAAATAAGAATACCACCTGATATTGCTTCTAGAATACCATTGACAAGTAATGCAGCAATTGAATTTGGATTGTATGTTCCTGAATGAATACCAATACCTATAGCAATGCCAACTGGAGTTGTAAAAACAAAAAATATAACCATCAAAATAATTGATCGTAATGGTAAACGATCTAAACGAGCAAATTGTGCACCAAGTGCTATTGATTCAAAAAATTGATGAAAACATAATGCAATAAATAAAGCAATAAAAGATTCACTAGCTGTACCTAATGCTACACCAATTAGAACTGAATGAAGTGCTATACCAAATTCAAGTAAATATGCACTGATTTTATCAGTTTGAGGATCATTTTGAAGAGAAATACCATGATGATGGTGATGATGGTGATGATCATGATCATGATGATGTTTTGGTTTACTAATTTCTACAGGTGTATTAACAACTACAGCTATTGAAGTTTCCATTTCTACTTGTTTTTGCATTTTAGGTTCTTCATTTTGACCGTTTGATATTGGATCAATCTTTGGTGGATGTCGTTCATGAGCAATGAATTCAATCAATTGCATAGCGAGTATAGCTAACATAGCAAAAAGACCCGCATAAGCGCTATACACATTCCATGATTCGGGTAAACAAGGACTTGTTAATAATTCCATTGCAGGTGGTAACATATGAATAAAACCTGTTCCTAGTATGACTCTAAAAAATAACATTGAAACTTCTGATTATTTTCTAAAAGTAGTCTATACATTTTATTTATCATACCCACTACCAAAAAATTTTCCTGTTGTAATTATAACTGGATTAATATAGAAACGTTTAACTCGTGTTGTAATAATTGAAAAACAAGTACCAAGAAATGATACAATTAATAGTACAAAAATTGATATAATATGAAGGTCTAAATTATATGAATTTTTAATGTCTTCATGTTCTAACATACATTCATTGTCTGTTGTTGTTTTCAACTTATTTCTTATAGTCATATTTAATTAATATGCCTTTCTTTTGTTTTATTGCAATAGTATGAACAAATAATATCTAGAATTCTTCTTTTGATAACCTCTTATATATTCTGCTCTTGTTTTACAAACTACTTCGCCTATCGCCAACCTATAGGATGAGATAGATACGCATATACGCCTGTGTAAAACTTGTTTTTGTTACACATCTACCAAGCTTTTTCATTTTTGTTTTATTATATTTATCGCCGTAAACGAACTAACATCATATATGAAGATTATTTTTCATGCTCGTTTGACAATGTCTTTTTTATCAAAGTATGTTTTTTTTCATATGTAATCGATACATTGATACTTTTATTTTGTAGCTTGTAATTATATAATTTTATTATTAAGTGTTTTATAACAATCAATATCAAAGAAGAGTTGAGTTTTCTAGGTAAATAGAGATTTGAAAGAAAATGTTCTTATCTATCGAAAACAACATAATAAAATGTTAAATTTAATAAAGTCTTATAGTTGTAAATGAAAATACTACTTCAGCTTTAGCTTTAAGATTAAGTTCATAATCTAGACGAGCTCCAAGTGAACGTGCTTTTTCATCATAAAATAAACAAACAATTGATAATTCACATATAGATTTAAATCGAATATTTATTTTTTGTTGTTTATAATTTTGAATTAATATATTTGTTGTTATTAATGATGAATTTGTTTTTTGATTATTTGTTGTTGTACGATTATATTCTAATATAATATCAGGATCTTCACCTAATTTAAATTCATATTTTTCAAATTCAGTTAATGTTGGTAAATGCCATTCACCAGTAAGTACATTAGATGATGAATCATAAATTAATAAATGACCAGTTGGTAAAAATGATGAACTATTTGATAATTGATATAGACGTTGAAATTTATGTTTATTTGAAATAATTGATACAATATTATTTGTAGATATTGATGGCATAGTTAAAACAAGTGTATAAATAAAAACTGTTTTAATATGAATATTAAGTGATTGAATTGGTAATGTAAGTATTGAATAAGGATCAATTTTTAATGAACTATTCATAGATGAAAATAAATGAATACCACTATAATCAATATTAGTTTTAGTTGAAGTTTTTGCATCAATTAATGATGAAATTTTATTTGTACCAAATGTAAGATCTATATCACCTGACATTAAATGTGTTTCATTAAATTGATATGTAAATGGACTTGTATTAATAATATCAACTAATATTTGAAATTTTGTTGAACGATCAGAATATGTTTGAAGTATATAACGTGGTTGCCATCGAAGATTTTGGATAATATAACTAACAATAAAAGACTGATTTGATGGTATAGGATGAAAAGAAACTTCATAGATTGAATTTAATTGTGGTTCATCAACATATTCAATAAGATTAGATTGAACACGAAAATAATGTCCTGTTTCAATTTCACGTACAAGTGAATAACTATTATCTTCATTAATTATTTCACAAATAATAGGAAATTTATGTTCAGGATATCTACGAACAAAGACTTTTTTACCTGTGAAGAAAAACAAAATGTTGAATAATAATAAATATAAGAAGTATTCATTGTATTTAATTACCTGTCATATTTATATGAAGTCGAATAATTTTTCGTTCGAACATAGTAGTTGTATCATTGATATGATCATCTGATGATGAGGATCGCAATATAATACTTTCATGTTTGATATTATTCCAATCAATTTGTTGAAAACGAAGTGGTCCATTGTATTCTTGATGAATTTCTGCAAATGAATCGTATAATCGAAGAGTATGATCAAATGGTATACTCATTGGCATAAATATAGATAATAAAATAAGTATAACAACGATATGAAACAGCATTATTATTCGTATTAAAAAAATTTCTCAAATGAATACAGGAATGATTGAATTTGACATTTATTTATAATTGATCAATACAAATATGATTCAAATTACTGAACATATACAAACAAACGTTTTAAAAATGATATCTGACACTAAACTATTCTATCGTTCATAGTTTATAATACTATACGTGTGTGAAGTAGATCAACAACATTGCTATTTAATACTATTGTCATTCTATTGTTTTTGTTCTTTCGTTTGATTGAATAGGTAACTTAAGACAGAATGATAATATGATTTTGTAGACGGTTAGTACTTATTTGTTTAATTAGCTATATACAATGGTCAGTACAAAAAAAAAAACAACGATTATAGGTGCATATTACGCATTCAAAATATATAAGTCAAATCAATGAAAACAAGGCATAAACATCTACGATTTCACTTTGATTTTTTATAAGAATTTTTTTTGTTTTGAACGAATTTTTTCTCAATGAATATATATAAAAATATTAGATCTTTCAGCTCATACTTAATTAAATTTAATTAGCGAATACCTCTCTAATCTTATGATGAAAAATTCGAAGAATTTTAGAATAGACTCCATACTAGAGATTATATTTATGGAGAAGTTTTCAGCAAGATCGGATTTCGAAAACTGGTTTTACAGAGATCTGCCCTTGTTCCAAAATGTGACTTTTGGTTCTGATATCATCTCGTGATTCCCAAGGAGGATTTGTACCAATTAGAATTGATGAATTATTTAATTTTCCAAAAAAATACTGTTTGAACTTACAGAATTTGTAAATGGAAAAGCACACAGTGAAAACCTTTATTCTTTTTTGTATCGCATCGCCGTCGCTTGTTTTTCAATAATAAATCAGCGGAACTGAGGTCTATAGTACTGATGTTTTCAGAGTATCTAGAGTAACTCCACATATATCTGTTATATTAAAATTAATTAAAAGAAATACCAAGGGCTAAAGATATAAACATTTTTATTTTGAGAAATTGCATCGTTAACAAATAACACTCCTCATATGTTGAACATTTTCTAGCTCTTAGTTATAGCAGGTATATACATTTTTAATTGCGATTTGTTATTTTTTAGTCAATCGATTAATTTTAGTTATATCTATAAGACAATTTAAATTGTTAGAGTAGTTTTCTGTTAAAAAAAAAAGTTCCCTTAAAGACTTCCATTTATTACGAGAATCATATTATAATGATTTTTCAAGTATTTGTAGTTTATTTTTTTGATATATTCATGAAAGAAATACCATATAAAGATGAGGGGAAAGAAGACGAGAATGATTGATAGACAATATACGAACAAAAGTATTTATGTGTACGCGAAAAGGAGGAAGAAAAAGTAGAACACAGAGAAGAAAATGATGATATAGAAAGCGATCACTAACAGCGATAAATGTATGATCAGTGAATCCGTCACACATATATCATCGATGTATGGTTTTCTTTCGTTTTTCCAACTAAAATAACATGGTACAAATGTATTTTATTAATGCTGGAATCAATAGAGCACAACAAAGGTTGAATTTGTTCAATTCTTTTGTTTTATTTATTTTACTTCTATTGTCATATCTCATTAAATGCTCAGCTGCTGTAGAACTTCACTATTGTGAATAGTGTTAAAATTTCGAAAAGTATTTTCATATATTCTATTTTATGTGTTTAATAATCATTCTATCAGAATTTGTATTGAACGAACGAATCGTGATAAACAGTGACCAGTAAAATAAAACGGTTATCTTTGGTCTGATCATTTCTAACCACATTGTTATTGAAGTTTATGCGAGAGCTACTAAAAGTAGTAGTAAACCTCTCCACGCAATAGAAGACCCTTGGTCTTATATTATATCCAAGCGTACAAATTTTTCTGCAGAGTCTTGTAGGATGTCTCATTTATTCTCCTAATTTTGGTTTCAAAAGATTTTAAAAGCTCAGAATTAATCTTAATTTATACCTTTTAAAATTTTATTTCATCACAAATTCTTGAAAACTATAGACATATCGATATTTTTCAGAGGTGAAGGCGAGGGGGAGAACTAAAAATTCGGCTGAAAGTGATGTATGTTCAGATTTCTAATCAAGTAAATTTCCGCATCTAAAGAAACTTTCATCATCATTTGAAAACAACAACCGAAAACTTATGGAAAATTATCGAAATTTTCAGAAACTTACATCAACTAAGCTTGGCAATAAAAAGTGAACATAATTCAATAAGAGGAAAACTTCTCCACAATTACAATATCATGTTGTGCAAATTACCGTGATTTTGGTGATTTCAAAAAAAAAATCGGCGTAAAATCATGATTATGGTACAAGACACAATATTTTGAAAATCGTCGATAAACTAGAGTGATAAATCGTGTTTAAACACCGATTTCAGTAATTGATTGCGAAATATGAATCAGTTAGATAAATGTTCCAAGATTTATAAAATGTAGAGTGAAATATAATTTCTATAAAATTTTTTTTTGACATAATCAACGAGATTTGAAAGGCAAGGAAAAATTTGGTTTCGATATGGATGTCACTACTGTAACATGAATGAGATTGGACAATTTTAAAAAAACTATCAAATTAAAACCAAACTTCTTGTTGACATTCATTTGTTTTAAAACGTTTCTTTTAAATACGCTTTCAGATAACGTTTTTTTCTTCAATTAGAATTCTTTTTGTCATGCATTCAGATTTAGATGAATCTCCAATGAATGAAAAGTTCAGAAATTCTTTTATGGGATGGTGTCTAAATAACTCTAGACATTATCTGGAAATTTTGTTGCTGTATAACAGTTATCAAGGAAATTGCTGAGAAATTTACTTTTGATTTTCTTATATTTCTAAGAAATTTCCTGGAAAGAGCTGTATTTTCGAGCAGATTGTTTCGATTTCTGTATTTGATAATTATAGTAATTTCCGAACTTTGGTATTTCTCTGAGAGTAGTTTCTAAAATTTGATAATTTATGAGACAAATTAATTTTTTTGAAAGCCTGAACACTGCTGCTGAAAGTTCGAAAATTCTCGCAGAAAGTACTAGCAGTGGTGCTTGAAGAGAAGAGATGAACGAAACCCACCGTGATCCGAACTCTCCCACAACAGACATCTTGCCACTAGGACGTCCTTCCCTCAGAGTCTATCTCACTCCTTATTCACCTCGTAACAACATTGTTTGCTTATTTTTATGACATTTTCTGTCAGAGAAAGGCAAATGACGTTTCAAAATCTGGTTTCTATTCAAAGTTGAAGATGTAAAAAGTTGGCAGAAAGTCAGCCGTTTTGCGAAGGGGAGCCTCCTATCAAGAAACAATGGTATTGATCTTTAATGCCAAGGCTATTTAAAATCTATTGTTTTTTTATAAAACAGTTAGTGATATTATATTGGCGTATATAAAGTCATTTTGTTCATGTTATTTACTATATCACGTATCTTTTCATTAGACCCTCGACCTAACACGTGTATATCAAACTTCTCGTTTTCTTTTCTTCATATTAATACTTTTCTTTCCCTTTATCAGTCATTTGCATATATATATTTTTTCAATAGAAACGATACATAATAGTATAATATTTAAACAAATGTCGAATCTCTATCTTTGTCCCGATGGTAAGTTATTCTTATTCTGATTAGTTGAGACAGTCACATTTATTAAGTCATAGATTTTTGGCGTTGTCCAATTGATCTCAATCATCAAGTACTTGCTAAACGATTTCAATATCATATTCGACGATGTATGATTGTAAGTCGAGACTTGGTTTTTTTTTGGGTATTTTTATTTAGAAGAAAATTATGTATCTTTCATGATTTGTTGTAATATATGAACAATAACGCTGTATGCTTTTTTTTCATTGGCTTCTAGGCCAATCCTCATATTCGCCGTGTTCGATGTGTTTTTAATGCTAATCATTTAACAACACCGAATGATTTACTTGCTCATATGTCAACATGTCCTGATGCAATTAATAGAAGTACTGTACTTATTGGTCTTTCCGATATTCGTAAGTGTTTTAATATAGAAAAAAAATTTGATTGAACAAAATAGAGAATATTGATATTCATATTAGCACCAGGTCGACCTTGGGTTGATACTTGCCGTCGATCATCTTCTCCAAATGATTGGCAAATGTTTCATGATGTGAATGCTACCGAAGATTGGGATGGTAATAATTTTGATCGATTGTTTTTTTTCATATGACACGTGTATTTAACAAATAGATGATATTCGTGAACGACGTGCAAGAAGGGCTGCAAGCAGGTAAGTAAATGAAAATATTATGTATTTCAGTATTTATCATCTAATAATTTTTAGTGAACAAATGATGATTTCATCTTCAATTCAGTTCGTATTTTCTATTGTTTTATTTTTTATTTTCTCAACTATAGATGTTTTATCAAGAATACTACCATCATCTTCACCATCATTGACCAGTCAACGTTTACATGAGAAACAACAGAAAGATGTTGAAGATGTAAATCAAAAAACAACAGTAGATAGTTATACACCTGTAACTGTTATCAAACAAGCACGTATGTTCAAAATGTTAATGTACGAAGAAAGAACTTTTTTTTTTGTTACGATGTTTATTTTTTTATTAAAGATGTTTTTAAAGAACATGATAATGATGGTTTAATTCATCCAGTCGAAACTGATGAACTTACGTGAGTTTTATTTTTCATTTCTAGTTTTACAAGATTTATTCTGTAAAGAATAGTTGAAATGATGGGATAAGTTTCGCATATTCTAGTTTTTGCCAAATGCAAGAAACATACAACTAGAACAAATTGAATTTGTTAATATGATTGCACAAAAGTTTTTCATGTGAATAAATCAAATTTAATTCAAAAAATCCTTTTCTTTTCCTCAAAATAACAGAGGAAGTCAATACTTCTGATTATGTTTTAAAAAGGAAAGAATAGTCCAAAAGTTTTGACCTCACACAGTTGATT